CAGGATCTTTTATTGTTTAGAAGAATATTAGTAAATAAGAAAAATAAATAATATAACGCACAAATTAAACGGACCGTCAAACCTTTTTCACTATATGAAAAATTGTTACAATCATATAGAATTTCACTTACCAACCTAATCCCCAAAGTATTACAAAGAAAAATAATTCAACGACCGAATCTGTCTCCTTTCTCTGCGCCTTGTATGCTGGTTATAACAAAAGCAACTACCAATGAATTATTCTTCTATCTTCTTTTCTCTCCAGGCAACGTGTGTGCATATATTATATATATTACACTATAGCAGCCTCCAATGTTGACTAAAGAATACTCCAAATACTTGTTGCCTTGTTTCTCTCTATCATTTACACAGTAGACCCGTTTTCTTCTAATAGACAGCCGCCCACTTTTCTTTGCTCTCACAGGTCACGTAAGTCACCCTAAAAATAATGAAATAAACCACTATTTATAGGATCCATAATAACCTATTATTATTTGCAGTAGAAGTCCTCCAACTTTGATTTTTTGAGGAAATAACTTAACAAAACAGGCCTACCTAGTGCACCAAAGAAGGTTCAGGCCGATCCCTGGCCGTTTCTTGCTGAAGCAGATGTCCCTGTTCTCTGAATATTCTAGTGAGGTTCCATCCCCATCATTCTGGGAACAAGATGATTCATCCCTGAGTCGAAACTAGCTTCGTCTCCAAAAGAATCGACAGGGAAGGGAATAAGTTAGTAAAAAAATAGAATATAACATATATTTAAGAACTAAATAAAAATGAATATATGCGAAGGAAAAAAGAATTGACGAGTAAATTCGATAATGGAACAGCAATCTAGGCCTATGTAAACACAGTGTTCTTAAAACAAATCCGTCCCCTCACCGTCGTGCTTGAGGTTGAGCATCTATCTCCAGTATAAACTAAGTATTACATTTCTACACGACAAACTAAATTTGTATCTAGACACGACCACTATGACTTTGGACAAAAACTAAAACAATATTGAAAGATAGAAATCTGAAAACAATAAATGCAGAAACAGTAGGAAAATCGTGTGTGGAAATTTCAAGCTCTATTATAGATGTACGACGGATTTCGCGTATTTAAAATACAGAAATCGTTACAAATTGTATTTTAAGGAATACAAATGAATGAGAATCTTCTTGTAATTGCAAAACTACAAAACCCTC